GTTGATAATCTGCTCAAAGGGATGAGCAAACTATCCACAACGGTGCAAGGAGCGGAGGCGATGTATCAAGAATTACAGGAGAAGGTTGGAATCTTGGAATCCAGTAATTCTAAAGTATGGGAACAGTTGGAGATGGATAGTCAGAGGATGAGTAGATTGGAATCAAGTGTAACTGGACTGGATATTAAATTAGATGAGAAGGTTGAGATGATTCAGGAATGGTTTGTACATTTGTCTTCTCAGGTTCCTACTGATGTTCCTGCGGAAATTGTCAGTTCTATACAAGAGGTGATTGCTGATAGTTCTCCTGGTCTAGCTGTGAACAGGATGAGAGTGGAAGAGCATCGAACGTGCAAGAAAACAACTGAGGCAAATTGTGTCAGTGGACCTGAGGATGAATCCTGTGGATATATCGTTGATAAAGAAGTACAAGACAGTTGATGTACCTGCTGTACACTCTGCTGTAGGAAGTATACAGAAATCATTACAGAAGTATGTAACCTTCTCTGGTATTGAATATGAGTACTGTGACAAAGTTAATGAATTCCTAGATTATGCAGAGAACTGGTGTCTAAAGGTAGAGGAGATGTACAGTACAGCAGAGGTTCATAGTATCAATACTTCCAAGGGTGATACTGCGGATGTCGGGATCTTCTCAGATAATGCGACGATGACAGTCTATGAATTCCTGGAAGCTGCTGAGATAGCCTACTTGGGTTGGGGTAATTCAACTCAGAAGGCTAACAGGATGTACAACAAGCATTTATCAGAGGAGATAAAGAACAAGTTAATAAATATGTCGGATTCCTATCCTGAGATGAAGAGATGGTTGATCACCAATTACGGTGGTGTGTCCAGGATCATCAGTGATATTGTAAATGATCTTAACAGGAGAGCAAAACCGTATCCAAACAACAGTACTCAAAGGTTTGCATTCTACGCCAGTATATCTGGAGCTCTGCAAAGGATGGAGAGGTTATCCAAGGTAGGAGAGATTGACAAGCTTGAATTAGAGAATTGTGTATATTCATGGGCAACCCTGAGTAGTTTATCCCTGGTTTTGCCAGCTGAGACGTATTCTGATTGGATTACAGAGATGACCAGAGCTGGTTTAGATTATAAAAATCCTGTGGGAGAGGTGGCATACCAGGTTTTCAAGAACTTGTGTATTATTGAGAGGAATAAGAGTGAGGGTTCGAGAGAGACAGAACGTTCCAGTGGAACCAGATCTCCTAGAGGTACAAGATCACCAAGATCTCCCAAAACCAAGGCGAAATCAGCTCATAAAGTGGAGGAAGTTGAAACTGGTAGGTTGGAGGGAGAGATGAACAACACAGTTTTTGCAACAAAATTCACTAACACTAAGTGGTACCGGGCCGGCTTAAAGTTTCCATGTCCTCTATCAAATCATCAACATGAGATGAGTACGTGTGCAGAATTTTTTTCATTGAGCCCTGGAGATAGATGGAATAAGATGGAGAAGGGACGGATTTGTTATTCTTGCATGGCTCCTAAGGATGTATGTGTGAACCGGAGATGTAGTTTTGAAGCAAAGATCCCTGAAACTCTGAAGTGTCAAGGTTGTGCAGTCTGGGCTCAACCTGAGAATCTAGCCCCTTTGTCTGTGTTTTTCTGCAGGAAGAAGGAGCATGCAGCGATGAGGGCTCCATTTAACGAGATCAAGAAGGACCTGGAGCAGTACCTGGGGAAGTTAGGCACAATAATTGTAGATGCATCAATCAAGTTTGCTGTGAATTATACCTTCCGAGTGTTTTCTATGGGACCTGGAGCTAATGCGCTGGGATGGGATCAGAAGAAGTTTGAGAATATACCAGCTCAACCAATAGATTCAGAGACTGGAAGGATAGATACTGTATCTCCGGAGAAGATCATACATGAAGTAGCAGAACATTCTTGTTATTTAATGCAAACCATCAAGATTGGGAGTTCGGAAGCTCTGGTGTTTTTTGATCGGGGAGCAAATATCCATATCATTGACGGATCCTTGGCAGAGAAGGAGGGATTGCAAAAGGTATCAAATAATCCTACAAATCTCACTGTGGTAGGAGGGAGCAAGGTTAGATCAAATCACGGAACATTCAGGTTCAACTTGGGACCTGGAGAAAGAGGAGAATATCATGAAGTGGTCTGCGTAGGTATGGATGATGTTACGGGAGGATTTGGAACTTATGATCTAACAGAGATTTGTCAGGAATATCTGGACCAGGCTGAGGATAAAGAGAAGGTTCATGCACTCCCAGAGAAGGTAGGAGGTTCTAAAGTTCACCTTTTGCTGGGAATAAAGAATACTAATCTGGATCCTGTGTTGATCAAGGTCTTACCATCCGGGGTAGCTGTATATCTGAGTCCTTTCAAGGATATTTATGGATCAAGGTTGATTTTTGCCGGACCACATAAATCCTTCACTAGAGGAAATGATGGAAAACATGCTAAAATGTCGAATGCAGTGTTTTTGATAAGAGAGAGAATGTTTGAGGATATGAATGTTGAGATGGAACATGGGAGTGTGGTTGTAAATGCAGTGGAGTGTAATTCTCCAAACCGTGGTCTCAGCACAGCCCTGGATAGAAACACTAGCAAGGACGGCTATGGAGTATTTAAAGCGAAAGTTTCTAGTGCAAAGTTCAGAAATGATGAATGCCTTGAACGGACGAAGAGTACTGAAACTGATACATTTTCCGTTACTTTGGCTAAAACGGGCAGGGGTGTAGCAGAGCTACTAATGGACCCTGTATCACAAAGTTGGAGAGCTAAGCTTAACCAGAAAGAGTTTTTGATCAAGATTGACAAGGTTGAAAATTTTAAGAAGAATGACGATGGTAAGAGGAATGAGGATTTTAGGAACGATGATGGCTTGGATAAAGCTGATAGTTTTAAGAAAATTAATTATTTTAGACGGACTGAGGATTTAAAAGGGAGTGACAGTAATTTTAAGAAGAATGACGATCCTGAGAAGAATGGTAATCCTGAGCTGATAAGTAGTGCTGAGATAATGGGTATTTGTGAGATGATGAGGAATCCTGAACCTGGGAAGTGTTCAGCTCTGATTATTGAACCTGAACTGGAGGAAGAAGAGCCTAGTGATGATAGTGGTGATATATCAGTTTTTGGTCGGTTTTGGTGTTTCGCGAGGGCAGGTGTGTAGCTGGAAAGCTACTAATTGATCCTGGCCAGAGATCTCCTGGTCTGATGAGGTCTTTTGTTCTAAGATCTCCTGGTTTAAAGAGTTTTCCTAGTCTGGTAAGATCTCCTGGCCTGATGAGATCTCCTATTCTGAGATCTCCTGTTCTGAGATCTTCTGGGCTAATGAGATCTTTTGGTTTAAAGAGATCTTCAGGTCTGATGAGATCTCCTGTTCTGAGATCTCCTCGTCTGATGAGATCTCCTGATCTGGTAAGATCTCCTGGCCTGATGAGATCTCCTATTCTGAGATCTCCTGTTCTGAGATCTACTGAGCTGATGAGATATCCTGTTCTGAGAGCTCCTATTCTGAGACCTCCTGTTCCGAGACCTCCTGATCTGATGAGATCTCCTGATCTGATGGGATCTCCTGATCTGATGAGATCTTCTGATTTAAATAGATCTCCTGGTCTGATGAGATCTCTTGTTCTGAAAGCTGATTCTACATGTACTTCTCCCCTGATGAGATCTCCTGTTCTGAGTTCTCCTGTTCCGAGATCTCCTGTGTTGTACTTGTACCTGGAGAAGTTCTCTGATCTGAGTGGAGTTAAGGAACTAGTCTCTCGTCCTATGATTGGTATGAAGTTTTCTAGATTGAGGAACATGACAGCTATGGGAGTACAGGTTTTAAACAAGACTATTTCTACGGGAGATGATTGGTGGGGAGAAAGATGGAACCTGATCCAGGAGTCCCTGAGATGTTATGCGCTGGGGGATATTCAGTTTGGGTTCATGACTTACAACATTCTGTCTGGTCTGATGTTAAGAGATGTTTTCCCGGATCCAGAGGTGCTATGCAGGTACTTGAAATGCAACCAGAAGGAGGCTGCAGATTGGTTCTTAGAGTTCCTGATGGTATCATTGGAGGGGGTGGAGTATCAGCAGAAAGCAGAGGAAGAAGCCGAGACGAGAGAGGAGATGATTCTGTCTTTGAGATATAGGGACGAGCGGGAGAAGTTGTGTGAGTTCTCTCCTCCTTTGGTGCTCCTGTGGTCCAGGATCCTAGGAAAGTGGCCCAGCCCGACGTCTGGAGGCTGCCGGTATCTGTTAGAGGCCAGGGAGTGGTTTTTGTTCCAGATTACTACTCTTGCAGAGGCTGGATATACTTGGTCCAAAGGGAAGAGGCTAGAAGTACCTGGAGATGACGATAAGGAGTATGCTAGGTTCGGACTGGATCCTGAAGAGCTGGAAAAGCAAGATTGGTCAGGTTCAGCAAGGGGTTTCAGAGGATGGGAGAGACCTGAGGGATTGAAGATCCCTCTGCTGGAACTGGATATGAGCAGGGTTAAGAGTAAGGAGATTGGTGAGAAGTGTTCATTGACAGGAAGATGCCAGCGATGGTCTCTGTTGGAATGGGCCAGGATGAACCCGCATGAGATGAGCAAGTTCTTCGTAAGGATGGAGAAGGATATAGGATTCCAGAGGTTTTACGGAGGATTGTATGATGCTATGCGGTTATGCTACCGGAGTGTTATGGACAAAAAAGCTCCGGTTGTAAGTGAGACGGAGAAGAGGTTGAAGTCAGCAGTTCTCCATTCACTGGAGGAGGAGTCGGAGGGGTTGAAGAGATGTGAGGAGGAGTTGAAGGTGAGAAGGATGAGGGTTGGATGGTTGACCAAGCTCTCCTCTGACTGGGAGTATGAAGAGAGGACTAAGTGGAAAGGAGATGTTCCTGCTCTGCCTGCTCCTAAGATGAGGTCAGGGGTGAAGAGGAAAAAGAACCCAAGACCTGGTAAGCTGAAGAGGATGAGGAGCTTGAAGGAGAGTGTAGCTGGTTCTGCTGCTGAGGAGCTGGCAGNACAAATCAGGAGAAAATTAAAGAGAACTGCGGATGCTGTCTTCACTGCATAAATTACATTATTGACGAAAGGAAAGTGTGGATCATTGGTTTGAAAACAATGTTATAGCAAATTATTAATCAAATAAATGGTCGACGCTTCTCTTTCTACTTGAATACAAATTTGTTTTGACATTTTTGGCTAGCTCAGACCAAAAAAGAGAAAGTCTATATTTTCGAAAAAAACACTTTCATTAAATATTTATTTTGTAAAAAAAAATACTGTTGATTAAGACATTAAAATCTGAAATTTTCCAAATTATAAGCTAAAAGCCACTAAAAAGTCGTAATTTTCCAATTGACTTCACTAAACACATGTTTTCACTATTTATAACTAAATTATTAATTAACCCTGCCGAAAGCCAATTATTCACATTATTTACATATATGCTGTTAAAACAAACATTCCAACTTTTGTCTAACAGGAAGCTGGAAAACATTGAAGAATGGTTGACAAATGTTTTGCAAAAATTCCCGGCAGAACATATCAGTAATCATGAGTACACCAATCTTATCACCAGAATACTTGGGTTTACAATGATCATGAAGAACCCAAGCCCATGGAGTTTAACACCATCAGAGAACCGAAAGCTCAATGACTACGCAATTACTGGAAGTGAATCAGGACTTTCTAGTGAAGCACCTGAAAGTTGGATCTGGTTGAGAAAAGGGCAACTTGAAGCTTTGAGTTGTTTGCGTGCTATTTTCTCTGCTGATTACGGGACTGGGAAGACGCTTTTACTGAAGGTAAGAAATTACATTTATATTAAGCTAATAGATTATAGCATTAAGATATGAAGTGAAAAAAGTGTTATTTAATATTTGGATTATAGATTAGTTGTAGAATATTAATGCTGTTTTTCAGAAAAAAAGATAATTTTATATTTAGAGAAAAGCCCTGGATTTAAGTAAAAAGGCTGCCAATCAAGGAAATACAAATATTTGAATACATTGATTGAACTCCAATACATATTATGATAGGCTGACTAGTGACCACCAGGGGTGGATACAGGAGTGAGCCATAGAGTGACTGTTCACCCCTGAAAATTGTTCAATCCTAAAGCTTTAGGGATGATCGCTACGGAAAATAGAGAGAAAGTCTAAAATTCCAAATTACGTAGCAATTCCAATAGAGGAAGTAATGTTTTTTCATATTCATTCATAGTTATTAAAAAGGCATAATTTTAAAATTTTAAGTTGTGTCTTAAAAATTGAAAATTTTCCTTGTGTTTGGTTACTCACAAGGATATGGCTTTATTGACGTACGACTTGGAACTCTGTTAATACCATGGATAAAGGTTAATTTGATAAATTTGAATAAATAAAAATAAAAATGTCTTTCTGAAGAATAAAGTGAAAAAATATCATTACCTCCTTTATTAGTCTAAACCATAACAAATCTAGTCATTTAAAAATAATATGATTTATAATTTTTGTTTTGTAAAAGATTAGATTACAATAATGAGCATTCAAGCAAAAGAAAATATTTGTTGCAGAAATAGGGGAATTTGGTCGCAAGGTTCTTTTCATCTCCCTAGCAGCAGCAGCAGATAAATTTTACAAAATGGTTCAGTTGTAAATCAGGCATGAAACTCCTGTAATGAAAGGTCATATGAAATTACAAGAACATTCCCTTTAATGAATTTTTATTGATGCATATTTTCATAATGTCTTGTTACTTGAGGTGTGTGGTGTGAGTGATCTGGTAGAAGAGTATGAAAAATCAGGAAACAGAGCAACAGAAGGGCAAGTTGATTATTTTTATAGTCAGATGATAAAAATTATATCTTTGATAATAAAGCAATAATCTTAATTTAAGATAAATACAAGGTGTCAAAATAAACGCTTTTCAAGGTAAAACAGCTCTCATTATGATTAAATTTTGACATTTTTGGACAATTTCAAAATCAACGTACTATTTCCGACCAATGAACATTAGTTAGAGGCTTGGAAAAAATTCATATAAAGATTATAGGAAAAGTAAAAAAAAACATTTTTTTATTTTAATTTTATATTAAGAGATACCTTATTTTGGTTTAAATAAATTATACTGGTCCTTCTTATTATTTCGTTAAAGGAATTGAGTTTTTATCACAAACTCTGATTTTTGAATCTCTATATCTGTGCAACCCGATGTCGTAGACCTTTAATATTTCAAACTATGAATTCTGTTAGATAAAAGTGTCTAAATTTAAAATATCAAAGGTTTACACCATTTGATTGAAAAGATATAGGTATTATAAAGTTTGGCTTTGTTGCAAAACTTCTGGTAGATTTTAATCTTTTTAAAGAATTTTCCTATTTTGAGACCCTAATGAAATCACAAAATATGTTAGTAAAACAAATATAATAAATCTATGAACTCTACTAAGCCAAAATGGCAAACTTCTGATCGTAATTTATACTTCTTTAATTCTAGTATTACAAACCTCTATGTTGTCTATCTCTCAGAAATGTAATATAGAACCATGTATTAGCTGTAGTTCCAGAAAGGGACTGTGTGCAAAATGTGAAGTGACATTCCAATTTCCATGTAAAGGGGCCTGATGTACATCAGTATCCTGTAAACCAGGGGGTAGAGAACTCAATGTGTTTATCACTGAGTTATAGCCACAAACTCTATTTTAAAAATCCATATATCTTTTCAACCTGGCGGTGTAAACCTTTTATATTTTAAACTCAGACTACTTGATCTAGCAGAGTTTATAGTTTGAAATATCAAAGCAGGTCACGACACCGGGTTGCAATGATATAGCGATTAAAAAATCAGGGTTTGTGGCAAGAACTCAGTTCCTTTCCGGGAAACTGACTTTCTGCGATTTAATTAATATTTTTAAAATCTAAACAGCGTTTCTGTAGTCAGTCATCCTTGATCAGTCATCCTTGATCAGTCATCCTTGATCAGTCATCCTTGATCAGTCATCCTTGATCAGTCATTCTTGATCAGTCATCCTTGATCAGTCATCCTTGATCAGTCATTTTTGATCAGTCATTCTTGATCAGTCATCCTTGATCAGTCATCCTTGATCAGTCATTTTTGATCAGTCATCCTTGATCAGTCATCCTTGATCAGTCATCTTTGATCAGCTATTTCTTAATCAGTCAAATGTTAAAAGGGTACTGTTGTGAATCCGACATGCCAGTCTACAAATGAAGGCTCACTTGCAATTGCGCCTATAACAGTCCCTCCTAAAGAGCGTTCCTTTTGAATTTGTTTTTAAGGGTGAAAGAAAAATAACACTTGGAAGATATAATACTCAAACTAAATTTATCCAGAGAAAAATAAACAAATAACATACATTAATAAAACCTAATTGTAGATTAACTTTGTTTGAGTTGGTCTCCTTTATTCTGTGTAAGGAGGAGTACAAAAATCATCATGTGTTCATCGACGAGATTCCATTTTATGAACGAGGTATGAGAATTCGTTCTTAATCTCCAATGTTTTCATGTTGGTAAACCTTTGTGACAAAATTGAATGTTTAGGTATTGAGAAGATTGCTGAGTCTGCATATCCTGGCAAAATTTTAGAATCCTTCAGAGCTGAATGGATACGAGAGCTTGCAGGCGATAGAAGTGGAGAATCTCCAGCCTCTGACAGGGGTAAAATTATTCATGTGTCCTGACATGCACACTACACAGCTCCAATGCATAATTATACAAGGGTGTATATTTTCTTCAAATCATTCCCAATTTTTTTTTTAGTTTTATGCGCTGAATTTTGAAAGCAAATGATTTTTAAGGGAGATAAATATATTTTTGGGTGAACACTGCTGAAAAGTATAAAATTAAATGAACAGAATGTCCAATTTTTTTAAATTTTTTCAACTGTAACAGATTCTTATAAACATTCAGTAAGTCCCCATAGTCGCTTTTAAGCCCAAGGAAAAGTGAAAAATTATCATTTTCTCCTAAAGACAACCCAACTTGATGAAATTCCTGTAAAAAAACTTCCTTCACACGAAAGGGAAAATAAATTATTGTTACATAATAAAATACACTGTACACAGTACACACCCCTCTAAGATCGAGGCGAAATCCATTTAACAACAAAATGGGGGAAAATTATAGTGTATGGATACTGGGGCTTCACATTAAGAAAATATTTGATCAGGAAAGAAACTTGGCGATAAAATATCTTTTTTAGAATTCTCTTTTACTGAACGTGAAATACCTTAGGTAAACCTTAGTGACAAAATTAAATATTTAGGCGTTGAGAAGGTAGCTGAGTCTGCAGATTCTGACAAAAATGGTAAATCATAAAGTTAAAATAGTTTTGATCAGAATACACTGATCCTGTACACAAACACAAGAGCAGTTTTACAAAAAGTTTAAATTTTCAGGAAAAGAAATATTACATTAAAAATCTTTTGAGATTGAATTCTGATTAGCTTGTTTTGCAATTTTCTTCACGTTTGCCATTTTTTACTTTAAATGGACTGTCACAGTATAAATTGTAAAGAACTTCAATTTCTAGAGTGGCATGTCCGATTCACAAGAGTACACTTTAAACTTGTCAGATCATTGACAGCGGAGAATACGGGATTTTTCTCATCTAATTAATTGTATGCAAATTATACTGGAAAAATGGAGTGTAAAGGTTTCAATAATTACAAGGATATCTCCATCAACCTTGATCAGTCAAAGGTTTAAGGGTATTTATGTGAATTGGAAATGCCACTTGATGTAAATGGAGGGTTACTTGAAATTTAATGAATTTGAGCCTAAAACCGGTTTCAATTGAGCGCCGGCTTAAATCTGGAAACATTGATTACAATTTTAACTGGGACCGACGATATTTAAGCCACGTCTATAATTCAAGCCGCGGCTCAAATTCTTTAAATTCGGCCTCAGTTGTGTTTAGTTAAGTTAAAATCTTTCAATCCATAATTATAATATAAAGATTTTGTGAAAAGAAAAAATAAGTTCGTTATACAGTGATAACCAGAAAACACTGGATTAAGTTATAACTTTAAATAGTCTGCAATGCAAACAAGAGGCACAACAATTGTGCAGAGTATACAGGGTGTCCCACGAAACATGACTGTTGGTAAATAGTTTTTAATGTCGTCTTCCATACACTGTATTAAATATTTAAGGCTTTGTGCAGTTTATTTCGTTTAGAAAATCTGTTGCTCAAATATACTTTACTTTGCTATATATAATATTTTTATTATTGTCTTTGGTATTATACAACTTCACAAAGTATGGAAGAAGACATTCTAAACTATTTATCAGCTGTCATGTTTCGTGGGACACCCTGTACAAACCCATTTCACTTAATGAGTGATTTAACGACTTACAAGTTGCTTTGTAACACAATGCATACTTTATGGGGGGGGGAGACCTTCTTAGCCATCTATGTTACTTTATTCAAGTTCAAAGAGTGAAAATAGTAGGATTTGTATTAGCAATTATGCACAAACCTCCAAAAGAAATGATTTATTTTTGCACTTAATTAACACAATTTGTTAAAGTTGGTCCACAATCATGATCAGTAGAGTGGAAAGAAGGGGGGAAGGAGGGGCTGAATCAGGTTTGTCCTCCCTCTACTTGCGCCACTGATGTTAAAAGTGTGTTAACAAGATTAAATATGAAATATTTATAGCTTTCCACTTTTTGATAAATATATATATGTCTTTCTTTTATTTCAGGTAAAACTATCGATCGTCATGTGTGGATGGCAATTAGAAATGAAGCAATACTTTCAATTTATAACAGCACTTTTCCAGAGGTGTGTCTAAATTTTTCTGTTGAAACCATATCAAACCCTTAACTAAATTCCATATCTCATATAGATATATTGGTTTAATTACTTTAACATGTTAAAGATCCCCATACGCACAGCAAACATTTTCTAAGAATTCTATGGGGTAATTTTAGGGTTTGAGGAAAATGAAATATCAAAAAGAATTATAAAGAAAGATCCTTTCTTATACTCCCCTCCCCCCCCCAAAAAAGTTTTAATATAATTTTTGTCAGTCACAAAAAAAGGAATGATTATTAAAAAAGACTCCTGTTTGTAATTACAAATAATAGATTCAGTGTATAAGTTTATAACTGTCTCTTATTTAGTGGCAGAAAAGAATGGAAGCAGAACCTTACTCCTTTGTCTTTCCTAAACTCAGGAATCCATTTGTTATTAAACCTAAGATACCGATGAAAACTAGTTTTAAACTTGAAAACGCCTCCAATAAAATCAATATATTTGTTATTAAACCTAAGATACCGATGAAAACTAGTTTGAAACTTGAAAACCCTCCAGAAAATCAATATCTTTTTTTTGGCATTTAATGAAGGGTGGAACCATTTGGCACTTTTTTGATAAAAATTGAGATCCTTTTAACAGGCATGTGTAAAGGTTTCTGTCATAAAAAAGTGTTTAAAAGTTTAATGGTAAAAATGGATGCAGCGAGAACCTGAGAAATTCAAAGAATGTTATAGAGTTTACCGAGAAACATCGTGACATGAGGTAGATATTTTATTATTTGTATGAATTCAAAGTTCCAATGCGCTAAATGTTTTAAAAAATACATATTTCACAAAATTAAAAATGCGCCTCTTAAGTAGGATTCAATGATACAAATTGAGTAAAAGTCAGTTGAGTAAGTGAAAATGAAAAATTAATATGAGTATCCATGGAAAAGGCTTGAAAACCAGAATTGAAAAAATATTGAAAATTGGGTAAGACTAAGTTATGGTCAAAAATCGTTTTTTCTCTAACAAATTTCTTCAAGTATTCAAAAAAGTGTTTTTTCGACCCAACTCGGTCAAAGTTCAATATTTTCAATACTTTAAATTATTTTGAATTAGGAGATTCAACACTGTTCCAATGATAAGTTTTTTAAAATTTTCATTTTCTCTTATACTAGTGATTTTTTCACATATTTTTATCATTAAACCCCCTTTCAAACTGTCATTTTTAAAATTTGTGAAAAATGCATTTAATAAACATGACAGTTAGTATTACTAGTAGAATACTTTTCATCTTCTGTAAAATAGTTTCAGAAAAATGTCACACCCTTAATATAGATACAGGCAATTACTTTAAAGGTAGAAGAACATATGTTTCTTTGAATGTACACTGTACACTGTACATGGTGATTCTATATGAATGCTACATACATTTCCGTCCTTTGGCAGTTATTTTTGAAGGGGCTTACACAGAATCATGGTTGATTTTTTATTTATTTTTACAAATGTTATTTTATATTTACTTAAATTTTATCTAATAAAAATGCGCCAATTTTGGTCTGCAAATCTGGAAAGTTGATTAGCTTGAGTGAACATTTAATGGTTGAATAAAATGGCTCTGGTTAGAGTAAAACTGTCATGAAGTTAAAACCACTAAACCTGGTACAAATGGAGAACTTTTAATTTTTGTGGATAAGTTTGCTGCTTCCTTTGAGCAGAAATTCAAAAGTGTTATTAGTGACATGAGAAAGCGTTCCAGAGAGTCTTGTTTTAAAACTGAGCCTGTTTTGAGTTGTTTAGTTTTGCTTAAAACATAATGTATCAATCTAGACTAACGGAAAATATCTCATTTTCAAGCCCTTTTGGTCGGTTCCTCTTTTATTTGAGTAAATCAAAAATAATGCATTTGCATAGAATCACACTTCTAAATGAGATGTTCATTTCAAGTTAATAAGACATGTAATTTAGAATATAAAGAAAAGCATATTTTTTTTAGACTTGATGACCTATATGGACCCCTAAGAAAGGCTGATGGACCTAAGCTTCACCCTGTCATAGGAAATTTTTCTAGTTTCTCAATGAACAAATCATTAACACTGATCCTGTCGATCAGAAATAACCGGACATTGGGTAAATAAAGCAGACACTCAATAGGACTAGCCAGTGCAACAAGGTTGACGCGGCCAGACTTTAGGTTGAATTTAATGTTACTAAAGGGTCAGGGGTGAATGGGTTAGAGTAAAACTGTCATATCATCACTCAACCTGGTACAAATGGAGAATTTTCAACTTTTGTGAATAAGTTTGCTGCTTCCTTTGAGCAGAAATCCGAAAGTGTTATTAGTCACATGAGAAAGCGTTCCAGAGAGCCTTGTTTATAAATTGAGCCTGTTCTGAGTTGTTTATTTTTGCTTAAAACATAAATGTCTCAATCTAGACTAACTGAAAATATCTCATTTTCAAGCCCTTTTGCCTGGTTTCTCTTTTATTTGAGTAAATCAAAAACAACAATTAATTGTATAGAATCACCATTGTAATTAAGAATATAATGAAAATTAATAATTTTTTAGATTTGAAGACCTATATGGATCCCCTGTAAAGGCTGATGGACCTAAGCATCACCCTGTCATAGGCAATTTTTCTAGTTTCTCAATGAACAAATCATTAACACTGATCCTGTCGATCAGAAATAACTCAGTATAGGAGAATGACCTGGAATAGATTTTATTTATTCCAATTAACTCAATCATGGGAATATAATTTAACCAACCTGTTTCATTGACAACATGAAGTTTGCATTTAGAACAAAAATCTTATTAATGCAGAATGAATAGCTCAGGTACAATTATTTAGATTATACCCTTTATATACAGGGCCTTTAACTCTATTAGGCAAAAAGTTAAGTGATAGCTATGAAAGAACATTTACAAACATTTGAGCGCCTTTTGACATCCCAGGTTCTAAAGCAAAGTTGAGCCCAATCATTTTATTAGTTTATTAATAAGTATAAAAAAGAAAAAACAATAAAAAATATCAAAAGTCAGAAAAATGTCAAATCATGGTCAGGACCCCAGCCAGAATATATCGAATGCGACGCAGGCAACCTTCATGATATTCTTAGGTAATTCAAACTATGTTTATTGTGTATCATTTACTGAATATCGCTTAGTAACATTTTGCCTTGTTCAGGTTTGCCAAGTTATTTCGACTTGTAAAATAATTGATAACATTTTATGCAACAGTTCCTGCACAATTTTTGCCTTGAATCAGCTTGATTTTATCTTTGAGTTCCAATAATTAATGAATAACAAAGAGTGTAACAAATAAATATTGTATGACTTATTAATGTTAAAAATTACAAAGATATTAAACATTCAAACTATTATTTGATGAATTGGAATTTAGTCAAACTAGACTATCAGGTCGATTCCCGCCCATCTTCTTTTTATCCTTTTTATAGTTTAAATAGTTGCTCAATCTTTCAGCATTATCTCTTCTATAAAACAAAACTAAATGTTTCTGCGGATTTACAATTTTTTTTCATGGATTTTCAAAATTTTACGAAACTTTAGGAGACAACTTTTTGTAATTCTGAGCATTCATAAACCTTCCCTGGGATCATATGAGGTTCCCCACAGACAGACAAGCAAAGTATATTTATAGATTTACAATTTTTTTTCGTGGATTTTCAAAATTAGTATTAAACAACTTAACAAATTATGGAAGAAGACATTTAAAAGTGTCATGTATATTCGTTATTCATTGTCTGCATGATTTCATTGATTTTTTCCAAGTAACATGTTATTAGGCAAAATATTACAAGTGCCGGCTGAGCCAGTGAAGGCATTATGCATGGGTGCCACCGTTTTTTTTGTGCCACATAAATACAAATAAATCTTTTTGAACATAACTTAAAAAATTTTCCAATCCCTATAACTTTGCAACATAATGGTGTGAACATTTGATATTTAAAAATTAGATTGTTTGATCTAATATTGTTTGAAATATTGAAGGTCTTCGACATTTGGTTGCAAAGATATAGGAATGAGAAAATCAGAGTTTGTGGCAAAGACTCAGTTCTGTTGCCCAAGGACGAGTTTCTATTTATTTATAGAATAGTGATTTAAGTACTTAAACTAGGAGACATAGTCAAATCACTTTTCTTGTTTGCTGGTTCTTAAGTAAAGAATTAGTGGTTCAACTATATTTACGCAGTTCAACTAATAAATTCATTAGATTGAATTTCCTGCAGAGATAAATAAAGTATATAATAGGTAAAAGGAATTGAGTCTTTCTAACAAACTCTGATTTTCTAATACCTTTATTTTTTCCACCTAATGGCCGGTGTAAACCTTTGATATTTCAAACTCAGATTCTTTCATCTAACAGAATTTATAGTTTGAAATATCTTAGGTCTACGGCATTGGGTGGCAAAGATATTTTGATTAGAAAATCATAGTTTGTGACAAAAACTCAATTCCTTTAACTGTTTAATTGTCATCACTGAATTAATTATTATTTAGAACAACTTTGGAGAAAAATTACCCTGAGGAGGAGGAACCTGTTGTGATTCTCTGTAATTATGGTATGAATGTTAGCACTGTCTTTGCTAATTTGAAAAGAAAGATGATGAGTGGAGATCCTGAAAACCAAAGGTTTGACCTTTAAAAAGCTTGGGGGCTCTTGATATATGTAATAGGATAGTTGTTCTATGCATGTTAATTGGTTGTAGCTCAATTTTAATGAATAAGCCTTCAAAATCCAGCTCATTTAAAAACGTTTTAGGTTCAGGTGCTGTAGAGGTCTCAAAGAGTTTAAAAAGTACGTCGTAGAAATATTGGCAATATTTTTTCTTCATTTTTACCAAAACACAGAATATTTGAACCGCAGTGCTCGACCCCCTTACTTGTCCATATGTACAGTGCTGTACCCCCGTACCTGTCCTATGTACAGGGCTGGACCCCCTTACTTGTCCTATGCACAGTGCTGGACCCCCTTACTTGTCAATATTTACAGCGCTCAGTAAAGAAACTATCTTAAATTATGTCTAATCCCAAAATATGTGCAATACACATTACAATAATTAAATATAAGGCAAAGTTGCAGGGATGGGGTGGAGGGGGGGGGGNAAACGAAGAACCTGAACCCTAAGAAATCCAACCAGAATATGAGAGATATCCTACAATACCTATCCTAGATTAACCTGAGCTTAAAACAAAGAGCACATCTATAGAATAATGAAGCTTAAAATGTCTGAAGATGATCAATATATTTATTATTTAATCTAAAAGAGACAAAAATTACAATCTGTTCAAAATAATGGAAAAACAGAAATTTTAATGAAATAGATGCTTGAAAAAGGAACCCTGAGCAGTACACATTATGGATTTATAATACAAAGGAAAAATTAACTTAACTTCAAATTAATTTTTATTCCTGAACCAAAAGAGAAACTAATCTTGTTCTTTTGAAACCAATTTGTGTCTTTTGTCAATGATAACGTGACTAAAATGATATCATTGCTGCAAACTCCAATAAACCTTCATGATCCATAGTTAAGATAAAACCAAATGTTTGAGTCTGAAAAATAATTATTTCCAGTAAATTATCCGTATAGAGACCCAAACCACATGTAATGTTACTTCTTTTCTCTCTTTGTTAATTCTCCAAGAAATGAACACTGAGAAATAAAAATTGTCAGTAATTAAAAACAAAAATTGTAAATTGTACAACATGTTACGAAATATGTTATGTATTGTATATATAATACACTCTAAATAATGATACATGGTTATTGGTTACCCACATAGGATGGAATTTTAAAATTGTACATTGTACAACATGTTACAAAACATGTTATGTATTTTATATAAAATACACTCTAAATAATGATACATGGTTATTGGTTACCCACATAGGATGGAATTTTAAAATTGTACATTGTACAACATGTTACAAAGTATGTTATGTATTGTATATATAATACACTCTAAATAATGATACATGGTTATTGGTTACCCACAAAGGATGGAATTTTAAAATTGTACATTGTACAACATGTTACAAAGTATGTTATGTATTTTATATATAATACACTCTAAATAATGATACATGGTTAATGGTTACCCACAAAGGATGGGACTTTAAATGACGACCTAAAATTTGAAGGTCTAATTTGAGTTTCTGACTGAACACCTGAATATATTCCAAACGGTCGTCTCTTTAGTTTCCACTTTTGTGGGTAACCCCGTAAAGTTTACTAAATGGTAGTTTTAAGCTTATGAAAACGAGAAACCATTTTTTTCAGTGAATAAATATTTTTTATGAAACTATATTTTATCATTCATCGGTAATATCGTAATGAACGTGCTATAAAGTAAGCATCATGTTAAGTTAAGTTAGCTGTACACAATGTATACATGTATACAAACTACCATAAATTTAGTATATTCTAACCTTTTTAACTTTATTTCAGGACTGAAATAGAAGAATCCGACAACACTGAGGATGAATCTGAGGATGACCTCAATGATAATCAAATAGACTCCAACTTACCTGAAATAGAGTAAATCTGGGGTTATTATATGAGACGTCAAAAGT